TCAAGGGATGTTTTAAGAATTATCCAGAAAATGTAAAATGTAGTTAGGTTAGGTGTATTTCAAGGTAAGTCGAAATCATTGCTCTCATTAAAAGTACGTCATCCTTACGTTTGCATGCGAAACATTGCGGTAACTGTAAAAGACTTCGGTAAAGAACTTTCTCAGGGATTTGTTATAAGCATCGTAAGTGTTATGAAGAAAGTATTATTTAGGTTGACTGGTCATTGAATATCAAAGATGACTTATGTATCAATTTATTGATCCCATAAGCCTCTACATAGTTCACATAATGTTTTTATTTACAATATCACAAGTAGTCTTGTAATACGCTTTGAGTATGAAGAATCTGTTACTGCTTGTTCTTAATACACTGCTAAATGATTCCTCTATTAATTGAAATCGTTAGCAGATTATTATTGAATTGTTTTTTTCTTAGGATTTGGGGAAATATACCTAAACAGATAAAAATCTCTTATTACTCGCTGTTGTAATGTGATAATCTTACGCGAACTGAATTAAATTCGAAATGAGTGATAAAACAACAGCAAAAGCAGTCATTAAATTAGGCGCACATGCCTTCACAAGCAAAATGCATTTTGCATAATTGTAATTACATCAACAACAATAGCAGCAATAAGAACGACAATGACAACAACAATGACAATATAATGAATGAAATGACTAAACTAGAAACTGTAAGTAAGTAACAATCAGAAAGGCAGGCAAGCAGACAATCGGACAGACAGATAGATGGTGAGGAGACTGGTAAACTGGATGGAATCATATCAACATATTACGGCAGTACATAGACAATAAAACACTTTACACCAACGAAAAAAATTGGGATACTTTAGAGACAATGCTGCTGCTGGTAACTACACCACCACCCCACGCGATAGTCGTCGTCGTCGTCGTCGTCGCCGTTGTTTGTATAATGTTTTTAATTTCGTTATTTTGATGTTGTTTTCTGAAAGGAACTCAAGTGAAACTGAAATTGAATTGTACAACAGATTCAATGAAAACCCCACCAAAACAAAATACATAGCGCAAACACAAACACTAACATCACAAGCAATACTATCAACAATAACAAGTAAGTGAAGTAAGTGAAGCAACATTTTAATGTAAATTATGTAAATTGTCAAACAGCGCATCAAAATGATGCCCGGTTTACCATAAACAAGTAAAGCGACGGCATATGCAGAGTAACAGCACGGACAGCACGGACAGACGGACATGAAATTTGACTTGCAGAGAAACACGAAATAATTTCTCTTAAAATAAAAAAAGAAAAATAAAAATGAAAATAAAAAAAGGTCCAAAAACAGAAACAGACGGACCAATATACTTACACGAAAGATGATGATGTTGAAACAGGCAAAGAGCAATACAATAAAGTGCGGGCGTATATGTCTCTCATCAACATAATGATCGGTTTTAGCGTCAACATTGCTGTCATGCACACGCATCATTGTCATCATCATTATCATTATCATCATCATCATCATCATCATCTGGTTACCAGATTCCCTATCTAAATTTGTTTGAGTTTTCAGAAACTCCACAGTAAGTGTAACAGCTATTAATTGACTTCATTGTCTGTTTTTGTAGCTTATTTACATAGAGTGCAATATTTGTATAGATATCTGTAATATCTTTATACTTATGCACGCCTTTACTGAGCATGTGGCAGACATATAAAATAAATTTTTAAATTACAATCAAATTGAAAGAAAGAAAAGGAAAAAGACGAAAAAAAAAATAAAAATAAAAGCAACAATAAAAACAAGACAACCCGCACTCTACAGTTTCACTTACAAATTTAATTAAACTCAATCGACGACAAACGTTACCATCACCACCAACACTCAAAAGCATGGCCATCAGCAACATTGTGGTTTGCCGTCTGCATAGGCAACGATAGCAATGATTTTTTTCTTTTTTCCCTATAAGCAGATATATGCCGTCATACAAATGCACAAGAATAGTTTATTTATAATTTTTAAAAAGTATTTGCGACAATTTTGTAAAGAATTTCAACTTGGATACCGAAGACGATTGTCGAAATTATGATGATTTAGAAAAACTATCGGACGAGATCATTAAAAATGGTATTTCATCTTGGTCTGTATACAATATTTGATGTCGATAGGGCTTTCAACTTAAGGTATCTTCTAACCAACCCTTAAGAACTCTTTCTATTGTTTGCCTTGAATGGAAATTGAATGGAAATGCATTAAAAGCAATGATCGAAGATCCTCTTAAATAAAAAAATTGAACTCAAAGGATGCAGGCATTATTAGTCATCTCAAGGCATTCGCTGCTACGTTATTGCATTTGAGGAAACCGTTAAGCCCGTTAAGGACTCTTCCTATTGTCGTACTAAAAGCGAATAGAAGTGCATTAAAAGTAATAATCGTAGGCTCTCTTAAATTGAATTGAATACCCGCACCTGGTGCACCTGGTGGTATTGGTCAATCGCTTGTATAACATTGCACTTGAGGAGACTTTTCCAAGGCCTTCTTAGCATCTTAATATCATGAAGAGAGGCATTGCGCAGGCGTGAAGGTGTCGGGTATGGTGAAAAAATTTCAAATGAACACAAAAAAAATGAGAGAAGACTAATATGTCGGTAGACATATAGTCATTCATCGATCTGATCAATTCTAAAGATTTTCTAACCACAGCACTATTACTCTTTACATTAGCGTAATAGCCATTAGTTGCGTAGCATGGCTATGTTGTATGTGAACTCGATACAAATCGACCGCTATCTGGATAATTATCGTTACATGGATAATTTATCGATAAATGCGATTACTAGAGATATATTTATGCCAGTATGGAATCTTTCTTCCGATTATCGAAAATATTTATGGCAATGCGATCCGATTGTCGAACACATCTATGGCAATGTAGAATACATCTCTAACATGTCAATGCTGATGTGAAATATTTTCTAATGACGCATCATAAGCAAATTAGAAACTCAATAAGCGATAATATATGCCAAGTAATGGACTAGTAATGCATAAGAAGGAAAGTGCCGTGTGGTGTTTCCTCAATCAATTCTATTTAAAACGAAATCTACTCATCTGATGAATTCTTTGTAGTCATTTCTATACTCAATTTCATTCCTATGCTATCTGAGCATCAATTTTAGATAGGAGATCGCAAATTCAAGAAATAATTTTACATCTACCCTTGCATGGGCTATAAGAAGTTTGTGAGGCGGAATGCAAATATATTCAATTACGCTAACCTGAATTTTTTAACCTTTGTATTAATAAATGCTTACATGTATTAGCATTGGCGTAAGAACGAGATATTCAGAAATATCTAATACATACACATATACACGCATATAAAGCGCTTTGCTAATTAGAAAATGTAAAGAATGCACATTTTAATTGCAAATATTAGTTTAAAGTGGAAATAATTTAGAAAAAATTTTTTTCACAAAACTTTTAAATAAAAGCGAGCATCTTGCACAGGAGCGAGAAAAAGTGAACAATGCATGACGAGTGCGCACAGGTAAGAGAGACTGAAAATATACGGAAAATGGATAAATGGATGGATAATGGACACATCCTAAGAAATAGGGGAGGCGTGGAATACAAAGAGAGCTGTGCCTGTATTGTCCTATAACGTTAGCTCTTCAAAAACTAATTGATTTTTATTAGCAAAGAGAAGTTTTGATTACCTTTGCATGAGTCTTTAATCTTAATTGCTAGTGCTTTGCGCTACTTTTAGTCGAAATAAATTATAATAGTAATCATAATACAGATTACAATCTGCCGTCTGGTTGAACAACTCAGTGACGTGGTGTCAAAATGAAGGAAGAGCTTCAAAAAAGTTGTCCCGCCATTAAAACAATTGCTTTATGTATCTAGTAATAGGTGGGAAAAATTTAATTGAAATTTTGATAAGAAAACGGCACGAACTTCTCTCATGGTAATCGCATAAAACAATCGAATTGAAATAACATTTGTTTTCTAAGCAAGAGAGAAATTCTTTCTTGCAACAAAAAAAGTAGAAAAAAAAAGGAAGACAAGAAAGAAAAGTCGACCCTTATCTTTTCACACAAGTAAGTTCAGTCTGATTGCCGTTCCAATAGCCTCTAACGCTATTCATTCATATTCTCAGTTTCTCATCAAAGATTTATTTGTTGCCTTAAGATTCAAATTGATATCGTTTAAGTCATATAATCATCGCTTAATCAACTCAATATATAAAGCAAATCAATAATGTGTGAATACGCGTCACATAACTGTCAGCCAACCCACGCGAAGAAGAAGAAGAATACAAAAATTACAACAAGAAAACTATACAACAAAAATATTAACTAAGGGATTTGCTGGTCAGGAATCATTGTATTAGTTAATGAATACACTCATTGCACATTAAGAGGGAGAAGAAAAATGAAGCACACATACGCTAAAAACAAAAAAAAAACAACAACAAAAAAAAAGAAAAGAACGTATAACATACCAGCACATATTGTACATATATTGCTGCACTTAAAATCCATCAACGCAATCAACAAACATCGTGAACGGCAACAAT